AAATCTGGGTGACTCATCATAAAGATTTTTGTGTAAGATCAAATAATTTTGTACTCAATTTTTTTTTACAATTAAATTTATTTACAATCGAGACAGAATGTGTTTTTCTGCAACTCAAGACTTCGGGGCTGTCTTACCACATGGGCCTGCTAGGCGCTTTCCCGGGGGACTTCTGGAGTCTAGGGGCCGCATCCTAATCTGCGTGTGCCACGTGACTTGTCATACATGAAAATGCCATTCCCTGTGAGTGACTATCGTAAGGCCCCAGCACACTGCTTTGCCAATAAGGGTCCCACCATGCCTAGATCCTCCCAGCAACGCTGGGATTTGTTTGTCTGGCGCCTGGACACGCCTGAGTCGGAGGATACTTGGCTTCTTACAGTCAACGCTAGGCATCTGTTGTTTGTGTCTGGATATGTTTGACTCCAAGGATCCTAGTTGTAACTTGGCTACTCCCAGTCCACGCTGGCAGTGCTGGATTTGTGTATAAGCTAGAGCTTAGGGCCTCGCAACATACAGGGGTCGCAACAAATCTAAAATAATTATTGTTGATGTGGGAAATTCATGACAAGTGTTTCAAGTTGTAAATTAAAGCCTTTCGCAGATTATATAATACAATTTATGTTTTTTTTACAAACACATTTCTAAAAAATCATTTACTTTAAAAAGAATTAAACAGCAAAATATTTCCATTATCCATATGTTTACAAGGCTTATATATTTTACAGTTGTTCCAAAATTACCTACTGTCATTTAAAACGGCAGTGACCTCAGAGTTTTATATAGCTTGTGACCTCAGAGCTTTATATAGCTTGTGACCTCAGAGCTTTATATAGCTTGTGACCTCACAGCTTTATATAGCTTGTGACCTCAGAGCTTTATATAGCTTGTGACCTCAGAGCTTTATATAGCTTGTGACCTCACAGCTTTATATAGCTTGTGACCTCAGAGCTTTATATAGCTTGTTACCTCAGAGCTTTATATAGCTTGTGACCTCAGAGCTTTATATAGCTTGTGACCTCAGAGCTTTATATAGCTTGTGACCTCAGAGCTTTATATAGCTTGTGACCTCAGGGAGTCCAGCCCTGACGCTGCCGATGTGGTCATCACGCTTGACTACAGCCTTCTGGCTCTTGCGTATTGTGTTACAGACAGTTGGCTTGACTTAATGCCAAAAGGCCCCCCCCCCCCACCAACCTGCCAGTCCCATACCCCCTGTTCCACATGTTCCCCTATGAGTACAGTCCCATACCCCCTGTTCCCCTATGAGTACTACAGTCCCATACCCCCTGTTCCACATGTTCCCCTATGAGTACGCCAGTCCCATACCCCCTGTTCCCCTATGAATACTACAGTCACATACTCGCTGTTCCGCTATGAGTACTACAGTCACATACCCCCTGTTCCCCTATGAGTAATACAGTCACATACTCCATGTTCCACATGTTCCCCTATGAGTACTACAGTCACATACCCCCTGTTCCCCTATCAGTACCACAGTCACATACCCCCTGTTCCCCTATGAGTACTACAGTCACATACCCCTGTTCCACATGTTCCCCTATGAGTACTACAGTCACATACCCCCTGTTTTACATGTTCCCCTATGAGTACTTCAGTCACATACCCTCTGTTCCACATGTTCCCCTGTGAGTACTACAGTCACATACCCCCTGTTCCTCATGTTCCCCTATGAGTACTACAGTCACATACCCCCTGTTTCACGTGTTCCCCTATGAGTACTACAGTCCCATACCCCCTGTTCCCCTATGAGTACTACAGTCACATACCCCCTGTTCCCCTATGAGTACTACAGTCACAAACCCCCTGTTTCCCTATGAGTACTACAGTCACATACCCCCTGTTCCCCTATGAGTACTACAGTCACATACCCTCTGTTCCCCTATGAGTACTACAGTCACATACTCCCTGTTCCACATGTTCCCCTATGAGTACTACAGTCCCATACCCTCTGTTCCACATGTTCCCCTATGAGTACTACAGTCACATACTCCCTGTTCCACATGTTCCCCTATGAGTACTCCAGTCCCATACCTCCTGTTCCACATGTTCCCCCGTGAGTACGCCAGCCCTATACCCCCTGTTTCACATGTTCCCCTATGAGTACGACAGTCCCATACCTCCTGTTCCACATGTTCGTCTGTGAGTACTACAGTCCCATACCCCCTGTTCCACATATTCCCCTATGAGTACTCAAGTCCCATACCCCCTGTTTCACATGTTCTTCTGTGAGTACTACAGTCCCATACCCCCTGTTCCACATGTTCTCCTATGAGTACTACAGTCCCATACTCCCTGTTCCACATGTTCTCCTGTAAGTACGCCAGTCCCATACCCCCTGCTCTACATGTTATCCTGTAAGTACGCCAGTCCCATACCCCCTGTTCCACATGTTCTCCTGTAGGTACGCCAGCCCCATACCCCCTGTTCCACATGTTCTCCTGTAGGTACGCCAGCCCCATACCCCCTGTTCCACATGTTCTCCTGTAAGTACGCCAGTCCCATACTCCCTGTTCCACATGTTCTCCTGCAAGTACGCCAGTCCCATACCCCCTGTTCCTCATGTTCCTCTATGAGTACGCCAGTCCCATACCCCCTGTTCCACATGTTCTCCTATGAGTACGACAGTCCCATACCCCCTGTTTTACATGTTCCCATATGAGTACGCCAGTCCTATACTCCCTTTTCCACATGTTTCCCTGTGAGTACGCCAGTCCTATACCCCCTGTTTTAATACTGTTCCCAAGCTATGAGTACGCCAGTCCCTATACTCCCTAGTTTCCACATGTTTTCCCCTGTGAGTACGCCAGTCCTAAGTACCCCCTGTTTTTAACATGTTCCCATATGAGTACGCCAAGTCCCATACCCCCTGTACCAGCAAGTGTTCCCCCGTGAGTACGCCAGCCTATACCCCCTGTTTTTGGAACAGGACATGTTCCCATATGACGTACGCCCAGTCCTATACTCCCTGTTCCTCACATGTGCCCCTGTGAAGTACGCAGTCCATACCCCCTGTTTTTACATGTTCCCATATGAGTACCCAGTCCTATACTCCCTGTTCCACATGTTCCCCTGTTGAGTACGCCAGTCCTATACCTCTCCTGTTTTACATGTATTCCATATGAGTACGCCAGTCCCATACCCCCTGTACCACATGTTCCCCCGTGAGTACGCCAGTCCTATACCCCCTGTTTTACATGTTCCCATATGAGTACGCCAGTCCTATACTCCCTGTTCCACATGTTCCCCTGTGAGTACGCCAGTCCTATACCCCCTGTTTTACATGTTCCCATATGAGTACGCCAGTCCCATACCCCCTGTACCACATGTTCCCCTGTGAGTACGCCAGTCCTATACCCCCTGTACCACATGTTCCCCCGTGAGTACGCCAGTCCCATACCCCCTGTACCACATGTTCCCATATGAGTACGCCAGTCCCATACCCCCTGTACCACATGTTCCCCTGTAAGTACGCCAGTCCTATACCCCCTGTACCACATGTTCCCCCGTGAGTACGCCAGTCCTATACCCCCTGTTTAACACAGCTGTTATGGTTATCTAACTTCTTCTTAGACTTCACCATCTGCAAACTCCAGTGGAAAGTTCTGGTTGTTCGTCAACTTCTGGACTTTGTCTACAACCTGAGTTTTGCTTTCTCCGTGTGGGTTCTGGGGCCAATTGTGTGGAAAACAAGAACAGACCCACTGTCTCCCCAACAGCATGTCGTAAGAGTCGACTAAATGTGGGTGGGATGGAGATGGACGGGCTTTCTTCGAAGTCGGAGTTCATGTGCCTGTGATCAAAAGGTACCAACAGTCTGTATACAAACAAGCTAGATTTGTAAAACAGATGTTCACGCAATATTTAGGTCCTGGGACAAGACTAGAGCCCAAAAGTGAACGAACAACCAGAACTTTCCACCGAAATTTAAAGCCGGTGAACTCAAGAAGAAGAAGGTTTTGCGTGCACACCCATTTTACAGACGTGGCTTAATGATATGCAGACTACTGGTTCCTAAGGAAAAGGAAACAGTAGGTCTATTCTACCCCTCCCCCTCCCCCTTTTCCATCTCCGCCCCACCCCCACCCTATAGGGCAGGTTATCTAACAAAACGTACTGAGTGCGTCAAGCATGTCGTAGACGGCGACTTATTAAGGCTGACTCCTTTACAGTCAGAGTTCATCTCCACGAGAACAAGAAACCAACAGTCTGCACACAAATAAGACAGATCTGTAAGGCGAATGTGCGCGCAAAGCTACAATTCTGGATCAAGATCAAAGACGAGGAATGGACGAACAATCAAAACTTCCCAACGGACTTGGAAGCCCGGAAACGCTAAGAAAAAGCAGCAGCAGCAGCAGCAGCAGAAGAAGAAGAAGAAGAAGAAGAAGAAGAAGAAGAAGAAGAAGAGAAGAAGAAGAAGAAGAAAAGAAAGATATTAGAAGAAGAAGAAGAAGAAGAAGAAGATTTATGAAATGATACTGAACATTCTGTATTGCTGCTTGAATGCCATGGTGTGGTTATGGTTACTTTCTTACTTTTCTTGTGTCGAAACATCTATCAATATTCTTTCATGCTGTTGTTGTTTGTTTTTATCTTCACTATTTGTTGTACCATGTTCACTACCTGTCCTTGACTAATGGCACGTGCTCTCTGCATAATAAAATACAAGAGAGACTTTGTGTAACCATATGAGCGTTTCTGCCTGTTCTAACTCCGTTTTCGCGTCTTCTCTCTCTCTCTCTCTCTCTCTCTCTCTCTCTCTCTCTCTCTCTCTCTCTCTCTCTCTCTCTCTCTCTCTGTTTGTCTGTCTCTTCCTCTCCCTCTTGTTCTTTTTTTTTCTCTGCTCTCTTGATATCATTGTGTGATAAACGAACAACTGCTGAAGCCAGTGGCTCAGTCAATCCGTTCACGGTTACATCTTCTGCCTGTTGACAGCTCCATACAGAAGAACACAAGCTGGTAGTTTGAGAACAAACATGGCAAAGTTCTTCACCCATCCCCTGTTTCTGATGCTAATCATCGGCGCTTGCTGGCTGGCGAGCGCTAAGAAGAAAAAAGTCGACGCTGACAAACCTGCTGGTGACAAGAAGACAGAGGAGGACAGTGTGGGCACTGTGATTGGGATTGATCTGGGAACAACTTACTCCTGGTAAGTACCATTGCCTAAGTGATATGAGTACCATGCCTAAGTGATATGAGTACCCTGCCTAAGTGATATGAGTACCATTGCCTAAGTGATATGAGTACCATTGCCTAAGTGATATGAGTACCATTGCCTAAGTGATATGAGTACCATTGCCTAAGTGATATGAGTACCATTGCCTAAGTGATATGAGTACCATGCCTAAGTGATATGAGTACCATTGCCTAAGTGATATGAGTACCATGCCTAAGTGATATGAGTACCATGCCTAAGTGATATGAGTACCATTGCCTAAGTGATATGAGTACCATTGCCTAAGTGATATGAGTACCATGCCTAAGTGATATGAGTACCATTGCCTAAGTGATATGAGTACCATGCCTAAGTGATATGAGTACCATGCCTAAGTGATATGAGTACCATGCCTAAGTTATATGAGTACCCTGCCTAAGTTATATGAATACCCTGCCTAAGTTATATGAGTACCATGCCCAAGTGATATGAGTATCACCCCCCCCCCCCCCCACACACACACACACACCGGACTGCAAGTTACTTCGCAACAAGTGGGTGCTATAATGTAGTTTAGTTTAGTTTTAGTTTAGTCGACGGATCAACATAATAACTCACAGGTGTAAACCCATTAGTGCTCTGTTCTACTTCTAACACAAGCCTGAGTCTGAAGTATCTTAGCGCAGTGCACGAACTCCGTTGCACCGGCGAGGTTCCTGAAATTCTTTAGGTATATTTTTAACTCCAAATTTTGTCTGGGCAGCGCCGTTTGGCTACTCTGTTAGATTTCCAACTGCCTAGGGATTTGTTTTACGTGCGCAAGAATACACACAAGCGTCCAGTCTTACTACCCAGAGACCAGGGAAATTACTAAAGTCCACGAGAAAAAATCCCAGCTTTCACCGGGGATTGAACGCGGAACCTCCAGCACTCGAGGCGGATGCCATACCTAGATACCACGCAACCCCCCGGGGTGCTATAACATAACTTTGGTATGCTATTGAATAGGCTATATAGCATTTACTCTTGCTGGATTCTCGCCAAAAGTTTATCTTTGTCTGGGGCACTGGATGTCAATCTGTCAGAATGCAATCCCTGAATGGAAATTTAAAAACACACACACGCGCACACACACACACAGAGCGCACACACAAACACACACAAAACACACGCACACACAAATCGACCACACCAAGATTTGAGCCTCGAAATGACGACGGAGTCTTTATAGAAAGAGTGCGCTCATTATAGCTTACAGTATCTATATTATCTGGTATGTTTCTTCTTCTTCTTCTTCTTCTTTTTCTTTCTTTTTCTTTCTTCTTCTTCTTCTTCTTCTCCTCCTCCTCTTCCTTCTTCTTTTTCTTCAACTTCTTCTTCTTCTTCGTTCACTGACTGTAAGCAGCAGCGGAATCTGCTGTTCTAAATCTGTCATCTACTGCAATGAGTGCTTATCAATATCCGTGAATGTATTCATCTGGCTATAAAGAAATGTTCTTGCCTGTTCTAAATCTGTCATCTACTGCAATGAGTGCTTATCAATATCCGTGAATGTATTCATCTGGCTATAAAGAAATGTTCTTGCCTGTTCTAAATCTGCCATCTACTGCAATGAGTCTTATCAATATCCGTGAATGTATTCATCCTATAAAGAAATGTTCTTGCTGTTCTAAATCTGCCATCTACTGCAATGAGTGCTTATCAATCCGTGACTGTATTCATTCTGGCTATCTGTTTCTTGCCTGTTCTAAATCTGCCATCTACTGCAATGAGTGCTTCAATATCCAGTGAATGTATTCATTGGGGGCTATAAAGAAATGTCTTGCTGTTCTAAATCTGCCATCTACTGCAATGACTGTATCCAATATCAATGTATTCATCTGGCTATAAAGAAATGTTCTTGCCTGTTCTAAATCTGCCATCTACTGCAATGAGTGCTTATCAATATCCGTGAATGTATTCATCTGGCTATAAAGAAATGTTCTTGCCTGTTCTAAATCTGCCATCTACTGCAATGAGTGCTTATCAATAGCCGTGAATGTATTCATCTGGCTATAAAGAAATGTTCTTGCCTGTTTTCGGCAAAATGGAACAGATGTCGTATTGTGGCTACGTGTTCATTTCTGTTGAACTATGCCTTTGGTAGAGGGACAGCGTCGGTGTTAGAATTGTAATATCATAACACTTGCAGAGTTGAACAGACGGAAGCTATTGGTGATTAATAATGTAGATATGAAACGTCGATCTGCTTCATCTGTGGCCCGGCAGAGCAACGATGCTGCAACATCTGGCCCAGGGATCACCACATGTGAGGAACATAGGACATGTATGAGGGTCAATACTGAGGGTTGATAAAGGAAGATAATTACGCATAGAAAGAGAATCATCAACACGTAGATGGAGAAAAGTATTTACTGTTATTTACTTATTGTCTGCACGCTTGTGACCTACCTACGTACCTTCAATTACTTACTTTTCGTTCCCCTTCTACCTTAATGTGTAGAGGTTTGCCAAGAGAGACCGCTTGACTTCTCTGTGTGCAGTTTTTTTTTTTTTTATTTGAGGCTTTGTTCCATTCCAGTCCTCTATTAGTCAGAGTCTGTCAGGTGTTGTCTTCCCAGCGAACCCAGAAACTATATTTATACTTTCTGTTTTTTCGCCGTCCCCTTGTGGGAGGCAATTTTCCTGGCCGGGGGCCCTGATATAACATAACGGTTGAACGAGGTTTCCAAGACCTTTCCACGGGTGATCCTATTCGCATGTGTGGCACCTTGGGTCACCGGGTGTTTATCGCTCTGAGTGATGTCCTGATACGGTTAATCTTACTTACTTATAAAACTATATATCTTCATATTTACTCATCTGCACAAACACTTAACTGGCTACCTACATACCTTCATACTTACGCATCTGCTCACTCAGTAAAAAAAATATTCTGTTTACTCATTCAGCTATCTATTTACATACTTTCCTACCTACCTTTTTGCCCAACTATTTAACTATTTACCTTCATACCTTCCTACTTACTGATGTGCCCAACCGCTCAACTATCTACCTACATACCTTCTTTCTTACTTATTTGCTTACACATTCAACTGTCTACATATAATGCCTCCTACTTATTTATTTACTAGTGTCCATCTAGTCACCCACTCAGTTATCTACCCACACACCCACTCAGTTATCTACCCACACACCCACTCAGTTATCTACCCACACACCCACTCATCTGTTTATCGAGAAGTCAGCACAACTATTTACCAGCATGTCTTCCTAGCATTATATCTGCCCATGTGTCGGTCTACCCCACCCTCGCCCTAGGTTCAGCAGTATCCCCTCCCTACCGTCGACTACAGGTTACCCTTTAACAGGCCAGGTGCCCTCATATAACTGTCCTATAGTGTTGAACTGGGTTTCACACATCGGTGACGGGGTCGTCCATTGGCTCGCCGGTAGACGATTTCACCGGGACAGTATTTGGGTATGTCTGCTTTGATCGCATCAATGCTGCAGGAGTCCTTTTCAGGGCTTTTAGGGGCATGCAAGGTTTAGTTTTTTATGGCACACATAGCCTAGTCACAATTATAACCTAAAACTCCCCTTTTAGGGATGCTGGTTGAACCTAACCCCCCCCCCCTTCCGCTCCAGCAAAGCAAGTGAACGAGATTTGTGGAATTCGATTCTTTTCCTTGAAGTGTTGATCCTATGGACAGCTAATGCTGGAGGAGAACAAAGACCACGGCGTCACCCGCTAGCGATCTACCTGCACGTCTTCCTACTTGTTTATAGACACATCTGTGCATCTGCCCAGTAACTCAACTGTCTGTCTCATCATCACAATCATCATCATTCGTCCTCATCATCATACGTCACACCGATACGTGTTTGTAGTCCCCCCCTCCCCCCCCCCGGATTACCAGAATTATTGAACAGATCGAAAACAATTAAAGATAGAACAGCATTGGAAAGACATGGACTGATCAGAGGGGCCATGGCAAAATACCGTAGGGGTTGGAGTTGATTAGTTGAGCAACCATGTTTCACTGGCAGAGACAAGAATAGGAGGAAAGGAAAATCAATAATTTACCACAATGCTAACATTGACAATCCATTCCCGACATGTTAATAACTGTTTAGTCCACTGGCTATCTTACTATCTATATTTTCTGTGCACCTGCTTTCACCTGTTATCCAACTGGCAAAATACAAACATTAGCATACACAGACAACCAATAAATACATTGACACATCTCTTACCTATTTGCCTCCCTACCTGCTACCCTCTTCACTATCTATCTGCTTACCTACCTACTTATCTACTCAAATACCTACCTTCCTACGTGCCATCCTATGAATATACCTACTCTACTACTTACCTACTTATACACGTGCCAACAACGAACACAGAAAATAATCGAGAAGGCTTTAGGAAAGACATACACAGACACATACAAACACGACGAGTAAGCTCTTTAACAACAAAGAAATAAATTCAAGAATACTGTACGAGAAATATATATAACACAATCAGAAGCTAGCAATTTGTGCTAAACAACCAGACACAACCAGAAATCCGCATTTTCAAAAAAGAAAAAAGCTAACCAAATTGTAGTGTTTAAAAAAGACGTTAAAACATGGAACACAATATCCCAGAGTTTATTTACGATATTTCGAGAAACCCAATCACAATTGCACCACCCCTTCCCCCCACCCCATTTCGCTGATTATTATTAGTTTTCAAAATAACGTTATGACATCTGTTATAGCAACCCGTGTCGTTAGTTCACAACTCTATTTCTCTTTCAGTGTTGGCGTGTTCAAAAACGGGAAAGTTGAAATTATCCCCAACGACCAGGGAAATCGAATCACTCCGTCCTATGTGGCCTTCACGCCAGAAGGAGATCGTCTCATCGGTGACGCCGCTAAGAACCAGCTGACTTCCAACCCCGAGAACACAATCTTCGACGTCAAACGCTTCATTGGTCGGTCCTGGGATGACCCGTCTGTCCAGCGTGACGCCAAATACTACCCGTTCAAGGTTGGTCATTGTCACTGGTTATTTCCGAATACTCCCAGATTCCTGTTGTCAACTGTTTTATCGTAGAGGTTATAGTCAGTGTTCTACGGAAACAGTTTGCATCTACGCCTTAAGAAATTAGCTGCGGGGGACTGAGCATCTATGGGTATGCCCGGTGTGCTATGATGACGATCCGTAAATCAGTTATATTATGTGACGATCGTTAGCACACGAGGCTAGATGCTAGGTCCCGATTTAGGGCATGTGCCAAACAACCTTTCTGACCCTGGTTCTGGGACACACAGACCTGTTCATCTAACTAGACGTTTTAAATGTAGTTAGACGAAGGAGATATGTTCAAGTCAAAAGTCGATCCTGCTATTATATTCAGCTCATAGTCTGAAGCAACGAACAATTCGTGAACAAAACCTAGATGTTTACTGTACATGAAAATGAACGTTAAATGGCACGACCATAAAACAGTCAACAATTTCAGCCATAAAGTTTCTAGTTCATGAAATTGTTTTCTGCTTCCTTCCAATCACCACCCCCTGTATTTGTTTCCTTTTTTCTCTCACTTAATATGAGCGGACATGGCGTAGATGCTAGAGGCTCGACTGCAGACTCCGAGGTCGTTTGTTTAAATCCTTATCGAGCCGATTAAAAAAAAAAGGTACATTGGCTCCAGTGTCGACGCAGCTTTAAATGGGTACCAAATAAATCACAAGGAAGTAAAGGCCTAAAAGTAACCTCATCATCGATTGTTCTATACAACATAGGTCCACCACTTTACACCCCGTAGGCACAGTTTTCTTTACTGTTATTCTTTTTGTTTTTGTTTTTAAAGTTCTGTTTAAAGAAGACCTTAGCAAGAGACATAACTACAGGTCATGCCACGACAGTTGAATCCCTCTCTTTAACTCTAACTGATCAGACTTCACTTTTCGTGTACTCATTCATCTATTCAGAATTATACCTGTTTCTTTTCTTTCCTTTACAAACTTCAAAGTAGTCCAGTTGAGTATGGCGTCTGTTATTTAATTCTGTCGCTTATTATTTTGTTTGTTTACATTATATTTTAATAACGTAATTTAGTCATTTGTGTGTTTGCAGTACTTGTCCACATGGCAGCTAAGAGCTTCTAGTTCAGTGGCTAGGACCTCGCCTACTGGCACGAAGATCCCCTTGTTCAAATCCCCATCAAAGTGATTTCTTTGTAGACCCAGCCTTAAACTGACACCAAGAAATGTTTCTAGAAGTAAAGGCGGCCTGGGTGATTTTGACCATAATCCAGTCTAGTGTCAGTTTGTAAAATATACGTCTCACGGGCCTATACTCAGTGAGCCTACAGAAGTGGAAAGGGTCAATTATTTGTTGACATTTCAACAAACTCGTTTTTTCATCACAGTCTACATTTGGGCACCACTTTTCCTCATGTGGGTCCTGGGATCCATTTGGGGGGGGGGGGGGGAGAAGAGGAAGAAAGAATGAATCGACTGTCTGAGAGCGTCTGCATGAAAAGCCAGCAACCAGCATATACATATGCATGTCAAACTCAAGTTCTGGAACAAAACTAAAGTTCAGTAGTGGACGAACAACCGAAACTTTCCGCCGAAGTTTCCGGCCGGTGAACACCAAGAAAAAGAGGATAAGGCATCTGCTACTGCAGTTGACCAGTTGCCTAGACATGCGATTATTTCTCTGGATCAAATGGTACATATATATTTTTTAATGTAAAGGTAAAGTCGGGAGATGTGAACCAGCACACGGTTGTAAACCATAAGTGCTCTGCCACCAGTACGGACAGCTGATAAGAACTGTCCGCCTATGTCGCCGTTCTGTAGCTACAGCGACGTTCCTCCATTTGTCAACGCTGGTACCCATTACCTAGAGGCTGGGTGAACCCCCGGGAGCCGCCCGGTTTCGAACACCGACCGTGGGCTGCAGCGAGTCGCAGCTGGATTTGAAAGCGAGCCTCTTATCGACTGCGCTAACGCTGCCCCAAGAACTAATGTATATTCACGGTTAAAAGTTTGGGAGCTTGCATGTTTTCTATAGCAACACACGGATGTGAGTCGTTGACTATCTCACAGTTCTTGAGGAAGAAAAAAAAAGGCCTTTGAACTGAAATATATAGAAAGATTATCAAAATACCACAGACAGAGAATACAAGAAATACTGACATTCTAAAAGAACATCAAATCAAAGAAGACTGGCTAATAAACAGCATCCTATTTCGGATGCTGAAATATTTTGACTAAATCAAGCGCCAAATAAAAAAATAAAAGTAGAAGGTATAGTACTAGGAAAATGGGACAGGGTCCGACCAACAAGAAGATGTGCACAGTATATTAGTGACTCCTTGAATATGAAAGTGCACGAGGTAGGAGAGATGGCGAGACACCGAGTGTGTTTTGTGTGAAGGGTCTGCTACATAACGATAATGATGATACTCCTTGATAATATGCTGTTTGATTCTTTTCTCGGCTACATACACGAACTGTTCACATTGGCTTTTATCTCCTCTGACAGGTTGTCAATAAAAACCAGAAACCATGCATCGAGGCCATCACGGGGGCCGGACCCAAGACCTTCTCCCCCGAGGAGATTTCTGCCATGGTTCTGGGTAAGATGAGGGAGATTGCCGAGTCCTACCTGGGCAAGCCAATCAAGAACGCCGTGGTGACCGTGCCCGCCTATTTCAACGACGCTCAGAGGTCGGCCACCAGGGATGCTGGGACCATTGCTGGCTTGAATGTCTTGAGGATCATCAACGAGCCGTAAGCTGAAGCACACAACTCTTGAGTCTTGTCCTTCTTCGCATTGACTAGCTGTACACTCCAGCGGACAGTTCCCTTTGTTTGCCCAACTCTGGACTTTGGTCTTGTTCCAGAACCTAAGTGTTGCGAACACACCCTTTTTTTAAAAATAGATGTGACTTTTTTGTATGCACAACTTTGGTTTTTTGCCTCTCAGGCAGATGCACCTTGACTTCGAAATTATCTCCGGTTAGCCGACTCTTACGACATGCTTGTTAGGAAAAAAAGAGGGCAGGGAGAGAGAGAGAGAGTGTTTCAGTTCTTGTTTTCCACACAGTGGATCCCTGTAACCCATACGAGGAACAACTGAAGTAGCGCAAATGTCACATTTAATACAGTCAACGATGCGTCGGTCCTTGATGAGAATTTATTCTTCTCAAAGTCCATTCCGTGTGGCGTTGGTAGTCATGTCTATCCACAACCTTCTGTCTCGTGTTCTTTCAATCAGCTCTGACACATAGAATCCTCCGTGCCATGATGTTAAAATGTCCAGCATCTGTTCTCTCGGACTCCCTTGCCTCTCCTCCACTCCCACTTTCTTACCATAACGATGTACTCGTTTTCTCCTTCTCATCACACGAGCAAAGAATGTAGATTCTCTTTCAGTTTTCTTCGTGAGTCAGTTTCTTTCAAGACATCTTCATTACTCTTTTGTCTGTCCAGGGTATTCTCAACATTCGTCTGTAAAACCACGTCTCTCCAGCTTCCAAATTAGTTTTCACGAATTTACAAACTGTTGTTAAGAATTTACAAACTGTTGTTAAGAATTTACAAACTGTTGTTAAGAATTTACAAACTGTTGTTAAGAATTTACAAACTGTTGTTAAGAATTTACAAACTGTTGTTAAGAATTTACAAACTGTTGTTAAGAATTTACAAACTGTTGTTAAGAATTTACAAACTGTTGTTAAGAATTTACAAATTTAGAGTTTAAAAAATAAGGGCACAAAGAATATTTTGTACAATACATTGTTCAAGTATTAATTTAAACTCATAACAGAAATACATTTTTTGTCAGCATTTTAAAAAATTATGGGCTGTTTCTTAAATGACCTCAGAAGAAGTCTGACATAAACTCTGAAAATATTCTGGCATTGAATATACCCAACATCATTGTTAGAAATCTCTGCAGAAACACACAATTAACCTGTGCATCCACGTAAACACACTTGAACATCCTCATCAGAACAGTCCCGCATGATTTCAGTTCTTCTGTCCCAAGCAAGCACCCGCTCATACATACATTTATTAGTATCTGACTTTGCCACCATCATCATGTGCTGTGTGTACGACATAGCGATGACCATGACTTTTGTTCTGACCTTTGTTTTACCTTGACCTTGCAGCACCGCAGCCGCTATCGCCTATGGCATCGACAAGAAGGGAGGAGAGAAACGCATCCTTGTCTTCGACCTGGGAGGCGGAACCTTCGACGTGTCTCTGCTGACCATTGATAACGGCATCTTTGAAGTGGTTGCCACCAACGGAAATACCCATCTAGGTACCTACATTACACCCACCACGACCGCCATCACCACACTTCTTACGACAGCATCATCAACTCACCTCATCCTCACTTTTGTATTTTTTTTTTTGCTCCAACGTTGAACCAGCCTTAATGGGTACAGTGGTTATGGGAAGTAAAGACGGCAGGCGTGATGTTAAACATGTCATCCACCGAGCGCCGATTGGTCTATACAATAAAGGTCTAGCCCCATATGCCCAATACGCCTGATGGAGGGGTAAATTGTCCGTTACTTTCTTGTTGTACTGTTCTGTAGCACCTGGACAATCAGGCCTCCGCATCTCACATGATTACAATCTCGGATCAGGTCTGTGTTTTTGCCACGTGACATTGTGGCATTTAACTCTAAATCTTCCTCTTCTGCTGTCACGTGTGTCATCTATCAGTCAGATTTACAATGTTATTCTTTGCATATCCTCATCACGTTCATCATCATCATCATAACCATCACCATAAGACTAAGTAAGTTCAGTGATTATAAACACGCCGAAACTGCAGCGACGAAAACACCACAAACATGTTGTTATTATAAAGATACCACATATCATTACCATCCCTTGTTGTGCCATTGTAGGACGCATAGAACTCGAGTCTAGTTGTCTACGACGCATAGAACTCGAGTCTAGTCGTCTACGACGCATAGAACTCAGACTCTAGTCGTCTACGAAGCATAGAACTCAGACTCTAGTCGTCTACGACGCATAGAACTCGAGTCTAGTCGTCTACGACGCATAGAACTCAGACTCTAGTCGTCTACGACGCATAGAACTCGAGTCTAGTCGTCTACGACGCATAGAACTCAGACTCTAGTTATCTACGACGCATAGAACTCGAGTCTAGTCGTCTACGACGCATAGAACTCGAGTCTAGTCGTCTACGACGCATAGAACTCAGACTCTAGTTATCTACGACGCATAGAACTCGAGTCTAGTGGTCTACGACGCATAGAACTCGAGTCTAGTCGTCTACGACGCATAGAACTCAGGCTCTAGTCGTTCATGTCCTTCTATCGCGTGCAATAATTTGGATGTCAAGAATGCAATCCATCCAGAACCCTTGGCCTTTCTCACCAACGTTTAATTTAGAGTTTTTGTGTGTGTGGATGTCATCGTTTCCCCAATCTCTTTGATCCCTACATCATTGTCCCGATGTCTCCCATAGCGTGTTATCTTTTTTGTCTTAAACTGTTGACATCTGATGTTGTTAGAGTGTTATCTTTTTTGTCTTAAACTGTTGACATCTGATGTTGTTAGAGTGTTATCTTTTTTGTCTTAAACTGTTGACATCTGATGTTGTTAGAGTGTTATCTTTTTTGTCTTAAACTGTTGACATCTGATGTTTAGAGTGTTATCTTTTTTGTCTTAAACTGTTGACATCTGATGTTGTTAGAGTGTTTCTTTTTTGTCTTAAACTGTTGACATCTGATGTTGTTAGAGTGTTATCTTTTTTGTCTTAAACTGTTGACATCTGATGTTGTTAGAGTGTTATCTTTTTTGTCTTAAACTGTTGACATCTGATGTTGTTAGAGTGTTATCTTTTTTGTCTTAAGCTGTTGACATCTGATGTTGTTAGAGTGTTATCTTTTTTGTCTTAAACTGTTGACATCTGATGTTGTTAGAGTGTTATCTTTTTTGTCTTAAACTGTTGACATCTGATGTTGTTAGAGTGTTATCTTTTTTGTCTTAAACTGTTGACATCTGATGTTGTTAGAGTGTTATCTTTTTTGTCTTAAACTGTTGACATCTGATGTTGTTAGAGTGTTATCTTTTTTGTCTTAAACTGTTGACATCTGATGTTGTTAGAGTGTTATCTTTTTTGTCTTAAACTGTTGACTCTGAAGAGTGTTATCTTTTTTGTCTTAAACTGTTGACATCTGATGTTGTTAGAGTGTTATCTTTTTTGTCTTAAACTGTTGACATCTGATGTTGTTAGAGTGTTATCTTTTTTGTCTTAAACTGTTGACATCTGATGTTGTTAGAGTGTTATCTTTTTTGTCTTAAACGGTTGGCACCTGGTGTGTTAGAGTGTTATCTTTTTTGTCTTAAACTGGTGGCACCTTGTGTTGTTAGAATGTCATCTTTTTTGTCTCAAACTTTTAATACCTGTTGTTCTTCAGAAATTTCGTCTTGATTTCTTCAGCTTTCTAGAATTGTTAACAAAAGAGGTCACCAAATCCTGACTATCAATTTCTAAATTCTCTCATCAAGTAACGGTTACTACCTGTTGTCTCTTGAAGGACTTCCTAGTTAGTTTTTCTTCTCTCTATCCATGGATCCTCTCTGCGTGTCCCAGAAAACCCCAATCTCGCTGCCAGACGATGTTTATCTCTGCGCCATGCTCACCGTTCATGCTCACAGTAAGTTAGAATCTTTACACAACTTCAACAGGAACGCAGTTTTAATAGCAGTACATGTTACCACTTGCAGGCGGTGAAGACTTTGATCAGCGCACCATGGAATATTTCATGAAGATGCACAAGAAGAAGACCGGCAAAGACATCAATAAGGACAATCGCGCCGTGCAGAAACTACGTCGAGAAGTCGAGAAGGCCAAGAGAGCGCTGTCCAACACCCATCAGGTCAAGCTGGAGATCGAGTCGCTCTTCGACGGCGAGGATTTTGTTGAGATCCTGACCCGAGCCAAGTTTGAGGAGCTAAACATGGTGAGACACGGAAACACATTCTGTTTGTTGTTTGATAATATCCACACCATGTTCAATTTTTTTCAGTTCAGTTCATTTAGTGAAACATTTCAGGAAGACGGGGAGAAAGAGACAAAAGTAAAAGTGGGAGTGGTCATTGTTGGAATGGATGAAAAGTCTTATCTCAGAATACAAGTTGCCAGGTCTGACTCTAAGAGGAATGTTTGGGATTGTTACTGCTGATGGTTCCTAAAGCTATCAAACGTCCTATTGATTTGTTGTGCTTCAAGAGATAACATAGCTTGCAGAGGGCGAAAAACCTGGCAATTCCGTGCACAAGTTGCAGAGCTAAACCAGTGCCGGGCAGCTGGGTAGAGCTAAAGGTAGGAGGTCACAAGGTAGGAGGTCACAAGGTAGGAGGTCACAAGGTAGGAGGTCACAAGGTAGCTAGCCCGGTCAACTGCTGCCACAAGGTAGGAGGTCACAAGATAGCTAGCCTGGTCAACTGCTGCCACAAGGTAGGAGGTCACAAGGTAGGAGGTCACAAGGTAGGAGGTCACAACGTAGCTAGCCCGGTCAACTGCTGCCACAAGGTAGGAGGTCACAAGGTAGCTAGCCTGGTCAACTGCTGCCACAAGGTAGGAGGTCACAAGGTAGGAGGTCACAAGGTAGGAGGTCACAAGGTAGGAGATCACAAGGTAGCTAGCCTGGTCAACTGCTGCCGCAAGGTCAGAGGTCACAAGGTAGGAGGTCACAAGGCAACTAGCCTGGTCGACTGTTGCCACAGGTGGACAGTGTTCCCTTGAGTGGAATATGTGTAGGCTGTGTAATATAGATCTGTGACAGAGTTGTAGAACTTGGCCTGATGAACTCGCATTGAAAGATAACAAAGATTGTGCATCGGTATTAATTGTAGCAGCAGCATCAGTAGTAGTAGTAGTAGTAGTAGTAGTAGTAGTAGTAGTAGTAGTAGTAGTAGTAGTAGTAGTAGTAGTAGTAGTAGTAGTGGTAGTAGTAGTAGCAGTAATAGTAGTTGTAGTAGTAGTAGTAGTAGTAGTAGTAGTAGTAGTAGTAGTAGTAGTAGTAATTGTAGTAGTAGTAGTAGTAATAGTAGTAGTAGTAGTAGTAGTAGTAGTAGTAATTGTAGTAGTAATAGTAGTAGTAGTAGTAGTAGTAGTAGTAGTAGTAGTAGTAGTAGTAGTAGTAGTAGTAGTAGTAGTAGTAGTAGTAGTAGTAGTAGTAGTAGTAGTGGTAGTAGTAGTAGCAGTAATAGTAGTAGTAGTAGGTTGTGATTTAAAAAAAATATTATGGTAAGTTGTTGAATTGCTGCTGCTGATGTAGATAAGAAGAAGTAGACTGTATAACAACTGTACAAAGTCTCCCACACCACTATCACGTGCACATCATTACCGCTGTTACCACTGCCACATGTTTCCACCACCCACAGGATCTATTCCGCTCCACCATGGAGCCACTTGACAAAGTGCTTGCAGACTCTGGACTCTCCAAAAGACAAGTGGACGAGATCGTTTTGGTGGGGGGCTCCACTCGCATCCCCAAGATCAGAGAGCTGGTGACAGAGTTCTTCAATGGCAAGGTATGTCACTACTGTTATCATTATTGTTTTTGTGTTCTGCTATTTTCTGAGCTCAACGGCCAAATTATACAGTAACTTTACACCAGCTTCGCGGGCTAGTAAGCATTGCTCGGTGGACCAGACCTGCTTTAAGCGAACCAATAAACAAGTATGAGGAAAAGAAACTGATGGCGAAGAATAGGGAGGAAAGGAAGCAAAATCCAGAGAAAGAGAAAGGGGAGAAGAAGATATTAATCTCCCACTAATACTAGACCGCAGGTTAAGCTGGAAGGAAGAGCTTGAAAAGAAAGGGATGACCATCAGTGTCTCCAAAACTAAAACCATGGTGATCTCAAGCACCAGATCATGATGGGTCAGTATGCGTTGGAGCAGGTTAACCAGTTCAAATACCTTGGAGTTGTATTAGACAGGAGGCATTAAGACTGACACACGAAAAGCAGCTCGGGACTCTTCCAGCCCGAGGGTTTCTTAGCATTGGCAAGAGGACTGGCTGGTCTAACCAGGGGGTGTTCATGGGCAATGGATCACAGAAGCCAGCTGCAGGCCTCGGAAATGAGATACCTGTTCCAAGTGACAAATCCGCAATCAGACAATATCAAGATCTTGATACCCCTTAAACCTGGATCAGTCTTTCGATGGTTTGGACACAGAATGGGCGGCCACCATGGCAAGCATGGGAGGCTCCAGGGAACCAGACCTCCGGGACGACCCAGGGTGCGCTGGGAAGAAACATCCGACAGTCCCTGACTGACAGAGGACTGGAATGGAACAAAGCCAGAAAGAAAACTGCTGATAGAGACGGGCGATCTCTCTGGCAAACCTCTACACCCCAAGGTAGAAGAGGAGCGACTAAGTAAGTAAGTAAGGTTAACAGACAACGGTCGACGCCCCAATTTGACTAGGTTAAACGGGGTTTATGGATTTCTGTTCGAATAATTATCCTCCTAAAAGCTTCCCTTTCAGTCACTGGGCATTAATCTTTCAGAAAGAAATCCTAATTGAGTGTGGGGGGGGGGGGGGGGGGGGGGGGGATAAAAAGGCGGGAAAAGAGCAGGTGTGACGAAAATTGTTTTCACTGAGCATCATCATCATGTGCCTGCCAACTAGCGTAGGCGCTCACGCGTCTCCACAGATCACGATCCCTGATTGCCTGGAACAGCTCTTGATGATATTCATCCATGACATCGTTTCAGCCAATACAGCATCGTATCTCCTAGTCTGCCCCCATCCCTCCTTCCACAGATCTTTCCAGCTGTACGATGTTCTCCAATGTTTCTCTTCTCAAAGAACAGGGTTTGCCTCTTTCTTATTGTTGAATATAGATATCTACTTTTATTAGCTTCTTTCAAGCAATCTTTGTTAGTAACCCTGGCCGTCCAAGGTATTCGTAACATTCGTCTTAGAAACCACATCTCTGCTTCTAAATTCTTCCTAATTTGTTCACTGACATTCCAAGATTGACTGAGCAACACTTTCTAAATCTCAACAACCAGGAGCCGACTGAAGGCATCAACCCAGATGAAGCCGTAGCCTACGGGGCGGCAGTCCAGGGCGGTGTACTGAGTGGCGACGAGGATATGGGCGACGTGGTGCTGCTGGACGTCATACCCTTGACCCTTGGCCTGGAGGTCGAAGGTGGACGCATGTCCAGTCTCATCCCCAGGAACACGGTCATTCCCACCAAGAAGTCGCAGATTTTCTCCACCGTCGCTGACGACCAGGACTTTGTCCAGTTGAGGGTAAGGACATCCTCTTGTCTAATTGTCTGTCTGTCTGCATGCATGCATGCGTGCTTTAAAAAAAAACTATTGATCACTGGCATCATGATGGCTAATAGACTGAAATGGATGGGGCATACTGAGAGAATGTTAGAAGACAGAGAGGTAAAAACTGTGTTCACATGGTAGCTGAGTGGTCGTAGACCACAAGCCAGACCAAGAAGACGATGGAACGATAATGTCTAGACAGACCTGCAAGCACTTAGTGTTACCAACTGGAAAGAAAAGGCCAATAAGATAGATGAGGGGATGTGATTTCTGCAGCAGTGAACCTCAAGGGCTCGAAATGCTGAAGAAGTAGAAGAAGCTTATTCGATAACACATGAGGTTTAACTGCCACTATTGTTTCTCCTGGGCAACTGGTTTAACTAATGTATCGTAATCAGGAGTGTCTTGGGGGGTGTGTTCTGGGGGTCAAGCTGTTTCGTTTGCCCTAGTTTTAACTTCTTTGGTGGCTGAATGAGGTATCTATGGCTGACGTTTTGGTCTGTCACCTAGCGGGTGAATTTTAAAGTCTTAGGAGTGATCAAACCTTCGGGCAGCTGATTTACTGATTTAAGAATCGACATCATAGCATATCCAGGCATACACATAGATGCTCAGTCTCCTGCAGCAAATGTTTTGAAGCGTGGATGCTAACCTTCACACCTGAATGTAGCAACCCGGAATGGGAAACAGACAGACAAATGTATTTTCCTTCTGGGTAGGGAACCGGGTAATTGGTAAGGGACAGGTCATTGTGACTAATGATTGACCCAGTCTTGTAACTGATGACTGACAATTTCTTGTAACGATTCACAGATTTACGAAGGAGAGAGACCTATGGTCGCAGACAACCATCTTCTGGGCGTGTTCGAGCTGACGGGCCTGCTTCCCGCCCCCCGCGGAGTGCCCCAGATTGAGGTCACCTTTGACATTGATGTGAACGGCATTCTCAAGGTCACAGCAGAAGACAAAGGAACCGGAAGTAGAAGTCAAATCCTCATTACAAACGATCAGAACAGGTTATCAGCGGAAGATGTGGAAAGGATGGTCCAAGAGGCGGAGAAATATTCAGAGGAGGATAAAAAGGTCAGAGATACATTCACGTCCAGACAAGACCTGGAGAAAAATGTTTACAAAATGAAAAACCAGTTGGAGGACGAGAAGGGAGTAGGTGGCAAGTTAACGGAAAAGGAGAAGGAGCCGATTCGCGAGACGGTGGCGGCAACAATTGAGTGGTTGGACAAGAACCCGGATGCAGATCTGGATGCACTGAAGGCACAGAAAGAGGCCTTCGATAAGGCCATGGAACCAGTTTTGAGTATACTGTATAAGAGAAACAAGGAGAACATGCAAAAACAAGCGGAGGATGATGAAGAGGAGGAAGATGAGGACGAGGACGAAGACGAACGAGATGAGCTGTAAAACAGAAATACAAATTCATATTAATAATTGTGTAAAAACAGCTGACGATTCATTGATTGGTAAATCGGACGATACATTAATGGGGGACTGACGATACAAAATGGGGGACTGACGATACAGTAATGGATGACTGACGATACAAAAATGGGTGACTGACTATACATTATTGGGGGGCTGAGGATACATTAATCAGTGACCAAGGATACATTATTGGGGGACTGGGGATACATTAATGGGTGACTAACGATACAATAATGGGGGGGGGGGGGGGGCTGGCGATACAGTAATGGGAGAATGACGATACAATAATTAGGGACTGGCCATACATTAATGTGGGACTGACGTTACAATAATTAGGGAATGACGATACATTAATTGGGGGTTAATGATACATCAACTAGGGACTGACTATAAATTTATTTGTGTGTGTAAATGTAATACATTTTCGAATGCTTGTGTGCAGCCAGTCATTACATTGTTATAATCAGTTGTTATATGATTACAGTCAGTTGAAAAAATGATGCTCGTTTTCTCTAATGCTCACCCAACCACAAGTTGACAAGCGCGTCTGGCATTCTATGTTGTATCATGGTATCGTTGTGGACATAGACAGATAATTTAGAAGTTAATTATTTCAGTCCTAAAAAACTAGACGTGTAACAGAAATAGTTCCAATTTTTAGCATGGAGGAGTCCAAAATCTGAAATCTGTCGCACAGAAAATGTCATAATG